TGATAATAAGCTCAAAGTCAGTATTAAACCTTGGCATGTATGCAGGTATTACTGATAATGAATATTGGTTGGTGGGCGGAAATATTCTGTGCAATTCACGTGTGAATGGGTTTTTTTTTACAGAAAGGAGTAAAAGTCTAACACAGGAGGCTGGGAAATGAACAGAGGGCGATGAGTGACACTTGTGTTGTTTTTCTTTGGGAGCTGCTTGGCAGTATTTTTATTCAGCTTGTATGGAGTTTTGGAGCCTGTCTCATACCATGTGGCGTATTAGGCACAATAAAGATGTTCATTTGGCAGCTGGAGCACGACTAGAAACATCCAAAGAATCATACATGTGTCAATAATGGAGAGCTCCCCCTCCACATAAATAGATATCAGATCACTGTTCTAATTGCCCATTGAATTCTTGTCAACAAGACACAATCACCAGTCATGTCTGGCATACCATTACTAATGTTTTATTTTAGGGCTAGAGCTGAACTGTTACTATTATTCATTTTCTGCACTTTAAGGTATCACCTAGTTCATTCTCTTGGTTTGAAGCAGGATCAGGTGCTGAAAGTGGTGTTGAATGATTTTTGGATTAAGCTGCTATTTGATCAAACTCATGTTAAAATGGCAAGTATTCAGCATATCCTCAGCGCCTTCTTTTAATGGTTAGCTGGAAATCTTTCTTCAAAATCCATCTGAAGCTTCCCAGAACTGATACCCACACACTTCTGCCTGGTTTCTTGTTACACTGTTAGTACTAGGAGGAAACAAAGAGTAATTAATTAATGATACTTTATAGTGAGCATAGAGATTTGTACGCAGGCTTTATGCACAAACCAAGACATTTTTCACCTGAGAATAAGAACTAAAAACCCTATTTGCCCTATATTTAACAGGCTATGTTTTTTAAGGCATCAGTGATGTAAAGGTTTGTTTAAGGGATAGACGTAGTGCTGCAGATGGAAATCTGAGTAAGCTGATGCAGCTGAAACTCCTCAGATCTCTCCTGAGTGCCTGGCAGGGCAGGGAAGTGTGGTCAGTGCCAGGGCCAGCTCCTTTGGCTGTGCTGCTGGAGCCTGCTATGGGCAGCCCAGGTACTGTAAATTTTGATTATTTGTATTGGCTCTTCCCCAGAAGCCACATGAGTTTAAGGAAGCAAACATTCCCAGTGAGGGGCACTGTAGGAATGGCTGGGAATGAAATGCAATCTCATCCGATATTCCCTAGTCAGCCCAGTCCAGCAGACAGCATCATTCTGATAAAGTTCCTAACTTCTGATTAGGGATTTTATCTAAGGCTACAGTTCTCTCCGACTCTCTTAACAATTGGCTTCAGTTTCATCCCTGTTGGTCCTTAGGCCAAATAATCTTCAGTGTTCTCTATCCTTATGATCGCTTCATCTCCCTCCACCCACTCCTAATTTCACTCCTACATATCAGTACTTCTCAGAGCCTTTCCATTTTCTTTCCTTCTCTTTGCTATTAACCTCATCAAATAGTCTTGTTTCTGTGGTGGGATTGGGAATTGAAAACATCAGTGGTTTGAGGTGTGGTAAGAGAACAGTTTTCCACTTTTAAACAACTTTGCTTCTGCCCTTGCTGGAAAAAGTTGCAGGGTTTCATAAAACAAGATCAACAGATGAGCAAAATATGAAAGGTCTAAAACTGCTAAATTCCTTGTTCCAAGGGAGCACAGATTCAAGTGCTTCTCCTGACTCCAAGTGTCAAATCTGTGTGTGGTCTTTGAACCTCTCCAGTGCACGCAGATGGCGGCGAGGCAGGAACCTCCAGGTTTGTGCACGTTGAGCAGCGAGGTGGGAAAGGTGAACTCCCAGCCAGGGTCTCCCTCCTTTTGAAGTACAACACAGCGTGTCCTTTTCTTGAAAGGGACCTGTAGTGTGTGACTGGGTGATGCTACAGCTCTGAACTATGACGTTCTGTTTTAAGGGATGACTTTATTATGGTTTTGTAATTTATTTTTTCCCAGTTTTTACTCCTGACATAATTTCCCAGAGAGCGATGCCAAATTTTTCCAGTTGTAAGTTATGAATGTATTATTAATAGATTATTATTAGATCACCAGCAGTTTTTGGCTATGAGAAGAACATATTTATTCATAGAATCATAGGATGGTTTGGGTTGGAAGTGACCTTTACAATCATATAGTTCCAACACCCTGCAATGCGCAGAGATGCCACCAGTACAAGAAGTTACTTTCCAAATATTCTCCTTAATTTTTATTTATTTATTTATTTTAATTATTTTAATTATTATTACTATAAGGTTGAGGTTTGGGGTTTTTTTAAGGGAATAAAAGAATAAGTGAAACGACTTTTAATTCATAAAGGCTGTGATCTATGCCGTGTACAGAGATATACAGTGTATGTATCTATCCAGTGATTACTACAGAGAATTTCAACTTCCCACATTTGTGGTGACAGGAAAATTTTGCTTTTTCGTTGGTTGATAGCTTTAGGAGATTGCAGTGAGTCTGTTAAAACACCTGTCATGTCACCAACATAAACTGCAGCGGGTGGTTTTTCACCAGGGAGGCCTTGCTCTCAGAGAGCCTTCCATCAAAATCCTACTGTGGGCACGAGACATTTTGTGAACGAAGTTCCCAGCCTTGAGGAGCAGTGAGGGCACCAGCACAGCCTGAGCACTCTGAAAGTGTTTTAAACTGCTGCTGCTCCCAAATCCAGTGGCTTTTCCTCCCTGGTTCCGCTGTAGTGCCAGACTATGCAAGCAGGAGTCTGCCACATGACAGCCCGAGATAGGTTTGTCTGGAGGGGTTGGAGTATCTGAGGGGAAAGAGCTCTTTGTTTCCTTTTTTATTTATAATCCCCCTTTGCTTTCAGCAAAATTCAATGAAACGGCAAATGAGCTGATGAAATTCTGGTTTGCAGTCCCACTGTGAATCCAAGGATAGCTCTCCTGCCCTCAAGTAAAGCAGAGGAAATGGGAGCAGTTTTTAGTTAAAAACGTGTAATCGAGCTTAAACCTTGTGCAGCAGCAGATCCTTCAGGTGCTGGGGGAATTTTTACACAAAGCCTGTGGTGACTATCACGGAGTTTGGGCTGTCATCGGGAAGGGGACGGTCCAGTGTGAATTCACAGGGTCACAACTTTGTTCTTTCAAAATCCCTGCTCAGCTCCTCCTGCCCTGGTGGATGTTGGGGTGTGTGGGGGCTGTGGGGTCTCTGTGAGGGGAGCTCAGGGCTGGCCCCAGCCGGCCCCGTGGCCGCCCCAGCGCCGGGCAGAGCTGAGCCCTCAGAGACACCGGAGCTTGGGAAAGGGGGAAAATGGTACCTGGGAATAAGGAGTGAGGGGGAAAGTGTGAGGTGTGAGCCCCAGGGGCAGGAGGATGAGGAGGAGGACAAGGAGGAAGGGCTCCAGGTGTGGAGTAGGGATGGAGGAGCAGCCCTGGAGGACCCCAGGCAGGGGCAGGGGGGTCTGTCCTGAGGGAGCGGCGGCCGCAGAGGGGACTGGGGCTGGAGCAGGGGAAGTGTGAGGAGGAGGGAGCCACAGAGGGGAGCCCTTAGGTACAAACTGTGACCCCCTGTCCCTCCACTGCTCCCCCTGTCCCCTCATTGTTCCCCCTGTCCCCTCACTGCTCGGGCAGAGGAGGCTGAAGAGCTGGGGCTGATGGAGTGACACTGTGAGCCTGAGGAAACGGGCCAGAGGGATGACAGTGCGGGTTTAGTTTTGTCTTTCCTCACCACCCACATCTATTTTAATTGGCAATTAAATGAATTTTCTCCAGGTCAGTTCTTTTTGGCCAGTGATGGCCAAATGAGTGGCCTCCCTGTCTTTTTCTTGACTCAGGGCCTTTTGCATCTCGTTTTCTCCCCAGTTCTGCTGAGCCCAGGGGGTGAGAGAGGGCTGGGTCGTGGTCTGGGTGCAGCCAAGGCCAACCCTCCACTCTTGCTTTGGCAAATACTGTCCCGTGTCTCATTCTGTGCCTTGTCCTCTGGTTTGGATGTTTGAAATATTTGCATTGCTTACCTTTTAATTTAACCTTTCTCAACAATATTTGTCATAAAAAAAAATTGTAGTCAAATTCCAGAGCTAGCAACGGTTCTTTTTTTCCTGTGGTGTTTTACTTTGGGATTCTATCTCAGTGAATACCCAGAAAGGAAAGATCTCCTAGAGGTCCTCTGGCAGTCCTGTCTTTAAGCTGGTATGTCTGGAAATAGGCACAAATTTTGATGAAGAGGATTTCTGTGCAACTTCCTGGGATACTGAGTGGTCACCCACTGTGAGATTGTGCCAGTGCTTTAAGACCACTTAGGGAGATTGCACAGTCAGAAAGGCCTAAGGTATTCGCCAGGCTGTGAGAGACTCTGGGATTATTTTTCTTCCTTTAAAAATAATGATCCAATACAAGAAGTCTATACAGTGACTTTAAACAGTTATGCAAAGTGCTTTATATTCAGTTCAAGTCCACTGTCAGTGGTTTTCTGTAGTCTGTATCCCTTCCTGTAATCTTTTCTGAAAGTGTAATGCAGTTTTTAAAGAGGTAACAGAAATGAAATGTAAAATCAAAATAGGGAGAGCGCACAGGTAAGTGAAAAGTCTGCAGCAGCAGTAACTTGAGGAGCAGGTAGGGAATACAGAACAGATTGTCTGCAGAAAAACCTTTCACTTGCAAATATATTGCTTAGAGATGTCAAAACCCGAAAAGTTTACTTAGCAATTGCAAGTTTTTGGTGAAGATCTCTTAATCGCATATTTTATCCTGTGATCTGTGCAAAGTGAGTCTGCTGGACTCAGAGAAGGAACCCCAAAGTCTCAAACCTTTGTGCTTTGGGACATTTTTCTCTTTATGCCAGCCTTCCTAAATATTTTCAACCCTCCATGTAAAGTGAGACAGGATTATTGACAGCTTCTTTTTAATTAAGAGTATTCATCAAGATAACATCAAGACATTTGAAGGCTATGTGTGGGTACGTTCCAAAGTGGATACTTACAGCATCTTTTTTCTTCTTCTTTTTTTCCCCCCCCTCAGTGAGATTTGATGACTGCAAGGGGAATCACAAACTGAACTTCGAGGTTTCTAACCCAGACTTTACGGTGGAAGGTGATGGGTCTTTGGTTGCACTAAGGAATGTCTCAGAAGTTGGCAGAGCCTTGTTCGTCCGCGCTCGGTCCGAGCACGCCGAGGATACGGCGGAAATCTTCGTCGTTGGAGCAAATGAGAAGCACCGCGCATTAAAGGTAAGATAGATAAAAAAGACCAAAAAACAAGGACCAAAGAGATGCTGCTAAATATATCCGTGTGCCATCCGAGTCTGAGGATGTGAGAATGAATTCTGTGCTGTGAAATTTAAATTTTCATATAGGTCTGCTTTTCTGACGTTGTTGTGTGTTAAATTGTATAAACACCTACACAGATAGCGACACGTATTTACACTCTGCCTCGTTTCACTGGTGATTTTTGTTCTGCTCTGTCCGCAGTGTCTTTTCATTTCCCCTTCTGAATTTCAGTGTAAAACAAACCTCACCCTATGGGGGGAAAAATGTGCTTCACAAATTGATTGAATTGTTTTCTTCACACCCAGGAAAGTAACAAAAGGGAGATATGAGACAGCCTTCACTTCTGTGTCTTGGCATTTAGGAGAGAGGTAGGAAAGGCAGTGGCTTACTAGAAAATTAAACCTGATACCTTCACAGACCTATAATTTCACAGGAGTATAAAGAAGCCACGATAAAAATGATTGATCTGTTGTCTTGATTTGGTATTTAGATGTTCTGTTGCCAGCATTCTCATTATTTTCCCAGCAATATGTTAGTATCACTTAAGTCTTCCATTAAAAAAAAACCTCAAAAAATTAGCTTTAGGAGAAAGGTTGAACAAACTTCTGAAAGTCCATGGCTGAGGAAAGGTTTTGCTCTGCTCTTTAAGCAGCCACGTGATGTGAATATAGATGGCAAGCAGGAGAGAAAGTACTAGAACATGGAACTGCAGAAAGCTGATCAGAACACTGAAATGGGATTTAACTTTATTTAAACATGCTGTTTCTTCACAAAATTAAATTTTAACACGGTCCCACTTGAGACAGGCTCTTACGTGGAGGAGCTGTGAGTTCAGGACCACAGACTGCCAAATTCAGGGTAGGAAAGCTACACTTGTAGGAACAAGCTGGGCACTTGGCTGTCCTGTGCCTCAGACTAGCAAGGCATGATCATTCTGGTGTATTCACAAGAATTTCAGATGATTCTCTTTCCACTCCATTTTGAAATCTCAGGAGCAGTTTCAAAATTCTCATTCTCCAGTTAGAAGTTATGGAAACCACAGAGAGGTTTGAGACATCTCTGACAGGAGGTCTGGAGTCAAACTTCAAGGGATTGGTTTATGTGTGAAGATCTGACTCTCTGAGAACCAGATTCTGAAGTTTTATTCTGGGTTTCTCAGAGAAGCAGCCCTTCAATGTCTTTGAGGGGAGATATTCTATGGAAGTTTATAGACTAGGGGAAAACTGAGTAGGAGTTAAAAATATGTATTTGCAGAGACCATAAAATAGCTTTGCCAGTGACCTCTTTGTCCTGTTTGGGTTCTGGGTAGTCTGCCCTCAAAATGTTGCAGCAATATTAATTAATACCTAGTGTTGGAATCTGTCTCCAGACTGCATTTGAAAGCCAAGTGTGATTTGGCCCCACTCCTGGATTCTGTTCCAACCACTTTCTGTTGCTTCAGAGAGAGGAAACCAGCCTAAATCTGGCATGTTCTGCCACTTGCCAGTCTTCCCTCACAGGTGACTGCTCAAAGCAGTTTCACATCCTCTCTACCTGCATTTGTCACATTTTTAAGGATTTGACATTCAGCTCATAAACAGATGATGACCCTTTTAGGAGGGTGATCCTTGGTGTCTGCAGTGCCATTGGGAGTTACACGATGCCCTAATGTACCCTGGGAAACCATCTAGTGAGGAGCATCCTCTTCTTCAAGGGAATATAAAGGTCTCTGAGGCTGGTTGTCCTGCTCTGGCCTCAGCCAGCACTCTCTAGCTGTAGAACCAGTATTTTTCTTCCCCACATTTTCGGCTATTTGTCTATTTTAAACACAACACAGACAGTGTTGTCTTTCTGTTTGTCATATTTGCGAAGGATATAAAGACCACAGCGTCCTACCTAAAGTGATTTTATGATAAATTTGAACTTAATCCTGTACTTTTGCAGGCTAAATGTGTCAGCATGGAAACAGCAGAACTGCTCCATCTGTTTATGCAAGGAGCCTTGGCTAAGAAATGCTCAGATGGAGCCTCAGTAATTCAGCATAATTCTGTAGGGTTAAGATGAGCACATGCTAGAGCACTGCTTAGCATTCAGTACTTAGAGTACAGTACCTTGTCTAATTAGGGGATAAGTAGTTCTTAAGTATTTCCCCTCTGCCAGCAACTGCCATTTCTTTTCTGAAAGCATGTAACCTACATCTGTGAAATCCCATTGTTAATGTTTCTAATTGCAGATTCCCAACGTGTTTGGAAATGGCTCTCAACAATGATCTCCAATGTGCTGACTGGTAGCCTGAGCCCAGGCACAGAGCACAGTTCCTAAAACTTTCTGATTGCTCCCAACCATACTTTAGAGGAATATGGGAGCTATTTAGAAGTGCAGTCTTAGAGTGTGCAGAAAAGCTTTCGGTGTTCTGGTGGTGAAGGGGTGTGGTTCTTTCCTGCTAAAGATGGGGGAAGATTCCAGCTGGCCTCACTGATCAGTCCTGTGCGATTAACTTAAATTAACTTCACGGCCATAGTATAATGAGTGGCTGTTAGCACATCACTTACTATTTAACTCCGTTATTTGCATCTGAAGGACACGTTTCCTTACTGTTCTGCCATCAGCACAGTAGATGTGCAGAGCCTGCAGCTTGCTGACAAAGGATGGCCACGACTACAGTATGGCAAGAGAGGTGGTTCCTCAGCATCATCAGCCAACTCGGCTGTTGCTCTCTGATCACAGAATGTTTTGCAGGGTCTGGTGACAGATGAGCAAATACAACACTGCTGCTTTTCCCGATGTCTGGATGTTACTGCAAAATAACCTAAACCAAATGGGTCTCTATACCTACAGGTATACAGACATGTTATGGAGCAAAAATCCATCCATCAGATCCCAGTTTGATTGCTTTCTGCAACTGCTGGTTCACCCCTTCCTCCTGTGATTTTGGCCAGATATCCTGATCTCTGTCTGTATAGGCAGGGGAGAGTATTCCCAAAAATCTGCAGCATTTCCGAGGGGCACGTAGGATGTGAGCGCAGAGAAGAGTTGCCCTGAGCTTGTGGAAGGATTCCCAAAATGAACTTTGGGTTCATTCTGAATAATTCATAGAATTGCTAAGCCTCAAATCCCTAATGAAAAAATAAATCACTCACGACCCTGGCTGGGAACAAACTGGCTGAGCCAGGGACTGGCAGCAATATTTATTTATATTTTTGACTTCTGTCTTGTCCGATCCTTGATCCCTACTTTATTTTATGGAAATAGGAGGACAACTGAAAGCTGGAAACGTCATCACATTTGGACATTTTTCCAGACATTAGTAGATTTACGTATTTATTAAAGGAGTCATTTTTTTTGGAAGACGGAAAGTATAGCCAGCCTTCTGTAGAGCCTCCTAATAAATGGTGAGTTCCAAAAGGTAGCAGGTTGGGAGTTGAACTGTGTCCTCTAAGGCTAAATAAAATAGTTGTCTGCTGGTCCTTCTCCCCCTCTGAAATCTAATGCAGGTTTTAATGAACATACCCTCGGTATACTGGGAGCAGAAAGAAAGCCTTGGGACACAATCTGTCTCTGCCTTTTTCTCTGTGTTGGCAGGTGGTTTTTTTTTTTTTCCTTCTTTTTCCTTCCCCACAGCGGAGGGAGTTATTTAGGGCCTTTATTTGTTACACCATTACAGACACAGGGTGAAGGGTGGAGGGAAGTGAGATATCAAGAGTCTGGCACCAAAGCAGATAAGAGGGCAGGCAGATATTTGGAAATTCCAGGCTGGTAGTACCTTCACTGTATGGTGCTCAGCAGTCTGCCATACAGAAGCATGAAATGATTAAATAGAAGCTGTCAAACCCTCAGGACAGTTTTTTCAGGCACTAGATAGAAAAGGACTAGGAGAAAGAAAAGCAGAGATAAGAGTGAGGAGCACACCCTGAGACAGCATATTGGAGGCAGAGTTTAAAACCATCTCCAGCAGTAGCTCAGATTGAAGGAAATGGAGTTGCCCTCGTCCTGCTACTCTGTCCAGTGCACTTTGCACCAGCCAGGGGCTGGGCTGACAGGCTGCTGCTGCTTTTCCTTTGGCCAAACCGTTGCTTTTCCCAACTGTGTTTATTAGAGCAGGGACAGGAGGAGCCTCAGCAGCCTGGCCAAAAACTTCCTCGGCCGCCTTGCAGCCCCAAGTTCTGATTCCTCCCAGGTGGCTGCCTGGATGGAGACGTTTGTGGGAGCTGCTTTCTGCCTGTGCCTCTCTTTCCTAAAGTATCAAACAAGAAATAATGAAACTAAGCTCCTTGGGTGTGAATGTTAGCATTTCTTGTTTGTGCCTTGCTCTCTGCTTTTATCCCCAAAGGATAGAGATTGCAAATATTATGGATATGAGATAAAAAGCTCCCAGAGCCTTCAATGTTGCATGTGTGGCTTTCTGCCTTAGAACCACTGATAAGGGATCAATAATCTTCTTATGAATCAGGATTCTCTCACGGAAAAAAATAAAATATTCAGGCAAGGAAGTGTGAATAGATGAGTTTAGTCATCTGGCAATTCAATAAGTTATTGGGAAAATAAGATCAAGAATCAGCCTCTCTGATACAGCAGGCAATCGTTCCCATTAACGTATATTAGCATTTTTCGGTTTGGAATAGAATTCCAAATGGGCTGAAAATGACTGTGCAGAGTATGAAGATGGACTCTCGTGTGAGGTATGGACAAACAGGCTGCGAGAGTTCCATGTTATTAGGTTTTTGCATAGAGCAGTTGCTGCAGAAAACGACGCGCTGCGTAAATAAAACACCGCGGCTTGCATTTCATTTTGAGGCACAAAATAGAGCAAGTCACAGGGGTGCATCGATATCCACGACACATTTATGAGTTATTATACTGATCAAAACAGGGTACAGAATACCATTTTCTGAAGAGCTGTGGAGAACTTTTGCCTTTGGAAAGGAAGGTGTCCTTCAGGCGCAGAAAGAAGGATTTTCTTACAGAACAAACAAAAGAGAAGT